TGTGTGTGTGTTTGCGGGTGTTTTGTCATCCCATGTGGTGTTCGTCCTTCCTCCATGACGAGAACTGTCGAATCCTGTAAAGCTGCCTGACGTCCAGGCACCACAGAGCACCAAATCTAATCACCAGCTACCCTGCAATGTATGTGCTGCTCTGCTGGCTTAAGTTAATGCGTATGTGTGTGTGTGTGTGTGTGTATGTATGTGTGTGTATGTGTGTGTGTATATAGGAGCACAGAGACTTATTTATTGTACACAGTCAATAGTAAATATCATTATCTCTGTAGCTAGTTTTTCATTTTGTCCAGTGTGTTTAATATAGAGTCCAGGCCTGCTCGCTCTGCTCCTGTGTCTCAGAGCAAAGTTGAGATCTTCCAGCTGAGCTTTAAAGGAAGGACTGAAACAATGACTACCAAATACTTAGAACTCACTTTCTAGCTACAAACTGAAGACTGACTGAAGGCTACAGACCCAAAGCTGCACAAACTATAAATTCCGTCTACTATCTTTGCTGCGACTGATTGAAGGGCTGATCAGTTTTGGCCACAGTTCATTAAAAATGACAGCGAATTTCGGTGTTATCAAAAAGCAGTTTCCATTTAGAAGATTAATTTCAGTCAGTGTTGCTTCTGTCTACACTGTACATTTTGTGCTTGCTCAGGCAATCAGACAGAAATTGCATTAAAAAAAAAAAAGGTCCAATTTGAGTTGCAGATCCATGAGTTTGAAGGCTTGTCAGACACCAGAACCCTGCAGAGGTTAATAATATGTAGAAAGATGCTTTTGTTGCAATGATTGTGAGGTAAACACTAAAAACAAGGAGTTCACGTTAAGTAATCTACCAGGATTTTGCTCTTGCGTGTATGTGATTGGAAGCTGAAATGGATTCAACTTTTTAACCGAACGACCCCGCATTTTTTGTGTGTTGGCACCCACACTGGATCAGCATGTCAGAATCAGATCTTAAGCAGCCTCTTATTGCCCCGGGGCTTCCAATTCATCCAGTTTTGCAGAGGCAGAAACAACACTTGTGGGGGGACTCGAGATGCAGCGGGAATGCAGCTGCAGACAGTGGTTACTGATCACAGATGGTGGTTAGACCACAGACAGTGGCAACAACAGATAAGAGTTGTGCGATATGGTGACATAAACAGTGAGATTAAATTTTGCTCTACTGTTACTGCCGAGGTAGATTGTATTAGGTCTTTTTGGTCAATGTTGTAAATCAGCAAGTGGGTCTGCTTAGTGGCAACATTGGATTTACATGATTATTTCACCAGATTGGCCAAAAACATTCACCCCTGGTTATTTTGTTTAGAAATAGATTCTAATAGATTTTTTACTATGAATTTAGTATAAATCACAATATACAGGAAGATAAACTTGAATAAATGAATGGAGGAACATTACCAATCCAAATGCCTCTATACAAGGCAAGAGGGGTCAATAGTTTCAATAGTTTGATGAAAATGATGTGACCAGATCACGGCCCAATTGAACAGTTAATGGGAGGTTTTGGAGTTTCTTAAACAGCGTTCTCCATCACCATCGCCATGACACCAAATGAGGCAAAAAAAAGAGTTCAGAGAGCTGACAAGGATCTTCTGGAGGCTCATGATGAACTAATTAATTTGTCATTTTGATTTTATCCAAATTGCCCACCCCTACTGCAAACCTCTGACCACAGACAGGGACTGCAGATGGTGGCTGGACTACAGACTACACACAGTGACGACACGCTACAGATGGTGACCAGCTTGTCCACCGTTGTCCTATCACTAACAAGACCTTGCAAATGCCTGTTCAACTCAAAAACAGAACAACAACAACATATTCCAGGCTGTTGATGATGCTTTTCCACGTCTAATGTTCTGCTCAACATGCCCTAGAAATGGGGAATGGGAAAATTGTTTCCCAAATGATAACTCCTCAAATGCAATGTTGCCTCCCCCGCAATAAGATTTTCTTTTGTGCCAAGGTGCCTATTTTCTCCATCTCTGTTAATGATGTCTTCTCCACTCTGAAACCTTTTGATTTCATCTTCTTCTGCGGCTGTTTTTATGCCATGTTTGTGCACACGTGCAAGTTAACTCTCTGTGTGTGTGTGTGCTTGTCAGGTTGGAGATTGCAGCGTTGATTATGTGTCTGATGTTGTCGACAGAGTGACATCCCTTCTAATGAAATAATGGTCTAGTGGAAGAGTGCTGGAAGATTGCACATTGTAGACTTCAATTACAGACAAGATGATTTTTTTCCCCCTCTTTCCTTTCAGTCGGCGAAAAAAAGTACAGGTTTTTCTTCCTTTTTAACAGACGTGCTTACATCTAACAAAAAGGCTGAAGAAAAGGCTTTTTTCCAGACAGACTTGGGTCTAAGTGTTTTTTCTTTATATAATGGATAGAAAGGACATGGCATGTCTTAATTCACCGTCTCTTTAGCCAATCTGATACCACAAAACAGCCATTGCCCTCCTTGTGTGCACAAATCAACCCGAACGCTGGTTGTTTTCCAGCCCAAACTACACATTTTTCACTGTTGTAATGTCTCCTCTTTTGTTTGAGATGCATTTTGCTCTGCTGCATGCATTATTCTGTGGACCATGTAATTTATTTTGCACAACAAATGATCTTTTTAAGGTTCCAGTCTTCAGCTGTGCCCCTTCTGCTATCTGGTATGAAATTAGCATACATTTCCTAAAAATATACTTCTGGATCGAGTACACCTTTTTAAAATATCACAAAGGGAGAAAAAAAGGGCACAGTCTTTGAATTGCAGCAAAGAATAATGTTCAAAATTATAAAATGACTAAATAAATCAAGGGTAGACATCTCATGAATAAGTGGAAGTTGTCCCTGCTTGAAAGACTGTTTGAGTTTGGTCTTTTTGTTGGCGATAACATGGAATCAAACATACTTTACTGATGACAGGGTCATTTGACAGGTGAGAAATCAGTTTCCTAGAACGCTTTTCAGATTGATAGCGTGAAGCTGTACGGCGTGGACCATCTCAGGGATTATGACAAAGTCACAACTAAAGTGCTAAAGCCGTTTTTTGCAGACAGTAAAATGTCTGAAAACGACTCGAGGGCTGAAAATACTCACAAACTGTGTCAACATATTCTGAAGTTGAGGGTAAACACCTGCAGTTAATGCACCTCAGCAATAATATACAGTATATTTTTTGCAGTTAAAGCCAGTTTAACTCTGTCTGCTTAACATTTTCACAGTATAATTTTGTAATCCATATCGTATGTGGTTGCAAATAAATACTAATACATATAAACATAATTTGAAATTAACTCCAATTAACAAAAAAATTAATGATAGCACATCGTCTTTTGAGGAAAAATTGACTTGGAAAGGAAAGACAACGAACTGTGATGCATGATTTACTGATATTACCGTTTTCTTTTAGTTTAGTTTTTTTTCCACTTTATGTTTCTTCATTGAAAGTAACAGCAAAGTCAGACGGGCAATGTGGGGTGAGAGAGACGGGACGCCATGCAATAAAGTTCCTGTTGGGATTCGAACCCAATGTTGCGACTACATGGCATGTATTATAGTTTTCAATAAATAAATGGTCTTATATAATTAAACAGTGAATATCTTGAACAGGTACTGACATCTAACTAGAAGTTCAACCAATTAGCCCACAATTCAGAAGAACTGTGAATCAAAATAAACATCAGAATAATTCCCCTAATGTGTCATTGATGAGGTCAATGTGTTTGTCAGGACGTACAGTTTAAGGCTTTTCCACCAGCTCCACTTTCAACAGCTCTCTCTCTGTGTCTGTGTTTTCAGGGTGGACCCCATTCCTTATGACACTCCCAAGCCAGCAGGACACACCAGGTTTGTGTGCGTGTCAGACACACATTCGCGTACAGACGGCATCCAGATGCCCTACGGCGACGTGCTGCTGCACATGGGTGACTTCACCGAGCTGGGCCTGCCCTCCGAGGTTAAGAAGTTCAACGACTGGCTAGGTACTAAGCTGCTTAAAACACACACATTCATCTGCACGCCGCTGGACGCACACATTATTTTCACACTTGCTGACATGCGCAGGCTCTCGTGAGCAGGGGGACTGGCAACGGCACGAGACAGGTTGCACTCATAAGCGGTAACTGGACCACACAACGACCCGCCCCCTCCCCTCTTGACCCCACAACTGCTGTGCTAAAGTGTCCAGTTTAACCCCTCTGACCTAACACCCTGGCTAAGTTAACCTTCGACCTCTCCCTCTGGCCCTATGCTGTGGGCAGCCACTGTTTCATCTCTAGACCCTCCAGACTAGAGCTTCCTCTAATGTAGTCATGTTTCACACACACATACTGTCTGACATTCCCTCTAGCCATGTGCCTAAATCAATAAGCACCACCCACCACAATGGCCTTTAACGTTTGAAGACATTTGAATTCTTTTGTCTATGTTTTAGTTGTTTGTGCTTGTCTGTTGATCGGCAGTTGGCAGGTGAGACAAAACAACCTCATGAAATTTAACAGTAGAAGCTAAATGTCTAAAAGACTGAACGCAAAGAAAAGTATCTGCATTGCACTTGTATTTTTAAGTAAATGCAAAAAAAACTCGCTATGGGTGGCACAAATTGAGGTGAAGACATGCAGGACTTAAAAAATGTTTTAAACTTGTGTGCACCCGAAGCCTTGTGAGTCCAGTTCATGAACATATGGAGATGAGAGTAAAAAGGAGAGACCCTGGAGGAAATGAATAAAAGAACATGAGTTCCTTGTGAGTTTAAAATCAGAATTTGAGCTTTGAGCTGTCACTAAAACACACACAGACATCCTCCCCACACAGCATTGGTGTGCATGATGGCTAGCTAGTTACACCGAATATCTCATGGACTTCAGTCCGGCGGCTGAGGGCAAAATTCACTTTGTGTTCTCTCTGGACTGGAGTCTGCGCTAAAAAGTAAACGGAAAAGAGGATGAGAAGGAGTAGACACCACAAGAAACAAAAAGCGTTGAAGGAACTGACTGAAGATTAGCAGCAATGTTTACCTTCAAAATCCAGGTTCAGTTACCGGCTCATGAAAGTACAGAAGCCATTTGCTGTTGAACCATGAAAAAAACTAAATTCATTAATAATGAATAATTACAACAGAGACAAAAATGTTAGAGAAAACAGTTTATTTTTGAAAGCGTTTGACATATTTTCATTGCTTAAACCTATTTAAACCCCCTATGGTTAAAGTGGTACTCCTCTCAAAATCTATGTTTTGAGTATCAAACACTCACCCCCTGCAGAGCTGAAAGGTGGCTGTCAAACTTTTGCCTCTCCAAAGACGAGAGCGGCTGCAGTCGGCCTGGATTCAAAGCAGCTACAGCGGATTCAAACATTGAGCAAGTATTCACAGCACAAAATAAATATCCACACGTGTATAGAAACTTCAACTATTCCTGCAGCAGAATCCGCTTCTCGACTGTCCGTCAGTGTGTTTTCAGTCTCAAGATTAATATTTGAACATCTAACTCAAGAAATTTTGAGTGTGTCTGAATGCTTGGTGCATTGCCTATTGGGGTATTTATTTTGAAAAACAAGGCTCATCCTGCGCTTCCTGTTAAAACCCAGCTACTCTATCTCTCTCTAGACTCTCTCTGTCTTGAATATTAGAAGATTTGAGTTTAGTTTAAAGCAAGCAAGTCAAACTGTGTTAATTAGGTCATCTCAATCAGCTGTGTGTGTTCCCAACTCCAATTAAGGGTTGCCATGGTGACGGTACTTTCTGTGTGTCTCTAGGATCAGAGTCTTCATTTCAGAGGTTTTAGCTGTGGCACACCTCTCACGATTATGCTTGTAGCGCCCAGACCGTAACTCCTATCACCAAAATGGGGATGTTTTCAGCAAGACGAGAGCCTGCTGACCACATTTGGTGACATTTGTGTGTGTGAAGAGTAATAAATTTGACCGCACTAGCTGTTGGAAGAAGTGGCTGCTTCTGCTTCACACCTGAAATTTCTGCTCCCGTTTAATATAAAAGTTAATGCGGTAGTTGGTCGGCGCTCCTGTTGGAAGCTCATAAAGACAAAAGTGTAAGTCAGTTTGCTTCCACAGTCACATGTCTGTGACCGACACAAATGTTCCTACGCTTTAATGTACCACCTCTCCTCACTGTGGCTGTTGGGTCTCCCACGCTAGCTCTGAACATACACACTAATCTACTGTAATTTTCATGAATTTTGAACTGCTGTTATGTGAAAAGTATTAAAGATGTCAGAAAGTCCTACTTGCCCTGAACCTTTTTAAATTGAGTTTCTCTGTGAAAGTATGAATGAGTAGTTTAGAGTTCAAAATTCATGAAAAACTGTGAATTCTCCATAAGGAATGAATGGGGAAAAATCGCCTGAAAACATGGAATATTTTGAACATTTTGAAAGGCATCAATGAGTAAAGGCATAGCACACTATTCCCGATCAAGACGCACATTTTGAGGTATTTTTTTGTGTATGTGCTGGCAGTGCAGGACTAGATACACGCCTTAAAAAACATACGAAAGAAGAAAGAGATTAAAATAAGTATGGAGAAGATTAAACCGTGCTGATGTGCTTTGCACGTTGAATAACTGCGGCAGGTTTGCTGTGTAATATCTGCAGTGATTCAGCAAACTCATCGTTCTCTCTACATAGTTTTAAATTCTCTTGTCAACCTTTAAAATCTGAAATCTCTGCATGTTGTTGCTGGTCAGCCGCAGCATCCACTTTGTCTGGCTGACTCTCTAAACTACGGCCGGGTGCTGTGCCCTAATTCTCCTGAAACACTCACATTCACACACACATGCAGGCATGTCCTATTTCTCTCCCCCTCTGTTTTTCTGCTGTGTCACCACCACCAATGCAGCACCTGGTACACTGGTCAGCTTTTCTATCAAACTCCTCCATCCATCAACACGGATAGCTACGTCAAGCGTGTGTGTGTATGGCTGTACTTTGTTAAGCCAGGGTGAAAACAGCGATATCGGCCATAATGGGGAATCGATGCAGAGCAAAGTGGAAAATGGCTCAGTGTAGTTGGGAGCGCCTTGTCTGTTAGTGTCCTGTTGAAGGTTGTGAGTGTGGAGCTATACACCTGGTTATCAAACTATCAGGGTGAGAGGGGATGGAAAATATCCGAAATATTACAGCCACTTGTTGAAAATGGGTGAGGGGGGGAAAGAGGACATTTTTCTAAAAGTTTTGATTTAAAAAAAAAAAAGTCTAGTGTTGTGAAATTACAGCTTTAATCTCATAAGAAAAAGTAATATTATGAGAATGCTGATATAGTCTTAGAAGAATTGTCAAACCATTATGAGATTTAAATTTGAGTCATAACGTGAATTAAAGCTGTAATTTCACTAGAAAAGTCCCAACATCATGAGAATAAAGTCAGAATATAGACTTACTATGGAAAAGATATTGGTAAAATTTAGAGACATTACTGTCACAGAAACTGGTCCATCTTGTCTTCAACTATTTCTATAGCCTTTTTTTTTTTTTTTTAGTACCATCTTCAGTACTGTGTCTTTTGTTTATGCTCTTTGGAGTACAGAGGCTCTCAGCAGTCTGTAGGCTGAGAAAATGTCTTGTGGCTTTTATAGCGTCTGTGTGAGCTTTACATACAGAATGTTCTCTAATAAAGAAAATGCAAATGCATGTGAAAGGTTCGATATTCCCACCAAGGCCGTTTTCTTTTTTTTTCAGCAGAGAGAGAGACTGAATGAGTCAGACATGGAAGACGTCGAGAGTCTGCTGTGTGATGAAAGTCACATGGGGAAAATGGCATTTTGAAGCCATATTTGTTCAATAATTGGATGTTTTTCTAGATGACGAAAGTGCAGCTCAGACACGGCCACGCAGAAACGTTAATTTTAGTTTTCATGTAAAGGTTTTTAATAATCTCTTGGGCTTTATGAAACTTATATGAAACTCTGGAGTAGGGTTAAGTAGTGAGGACCAGTTCTAGATTTATTTCATTTTCATTCATTTAGCATCTCCTGAAAGCAAAGTAGTTACTGAAACAGTATAATCGACAAAATCTAAACCGATTCTAATCTTGGATGAGACTGTTATTGTCTATTTTAAAGCTTCTATAAACTGAGCGCTGTTTGTGCCCCTCTGCTCCTCCCTCTCGGCCTCCTTTGTCTGCTCCTCTCCCGTTGAGGGAAATCATTGGAGATCGATGCGGAGGAACGAGCTTTCCCTGACCCAGCCTGTCTGATGGTAGAGCACCAGCTCTGATCTGCTGCTTTAAGCTGCTCCCAGAGACCACCGTAGTCTTTGTGTGTTTGTGTCTGTGTTTGTGTCTGTGTGTG